TGTCTGTCCCACCCCATTCACTGTTAAATAGCTTGGCCTTTTAATTCTCATACCCTCCACTGTGTTTCTCTCTTAATGAGGTCATAATTTTTTTTAAAAGCTTAAAACAACAGTTCAAGGTTGATTGTTTTACCTTATGTTTATTGAAAGGATTGTAAATGGCCTGCTTTTGTTTTAAAACTGGGTAGAATACTTTGCGGATGGTGAAGACCTTAAGCAAGAGAGTCTATTTTTGACCAAGCTTTTTGAGTTTTTACAATAGAAAGCAGTGGAGCAGAACTAGTTGCAGAGTGCTCTTCCAGAGTCTTAATGAGAGAGAGCAAAGATCTTCCTTTGAGGGGCTGGAGAGATGGCTCAGAGGTTAAGAGCACTGGCTGCTCTTCCAGAGGATCTGAGTTCAGTTCCCAGCACCCATATGGGGTCTTACAACATCCATAATTCCAATTTTACGGGCTCTGGCGCCCTCTTCTGGCCTCCACAGTCACTGCATGCATCTAGAGCATAAATATACATGCAGGCAAAACACCCATACACACAAATTACTAAAATGATAATGATGAAGGTGATGATAATAATAATAAATTAATAATAATAATAATAATAATAATAATAATAATAATAATAATAATAATAATAATAACAAGTGCTCTACACCACCCTCTCAAGGGGCTCTAGTTCTCTCTCATAGTACCTTGGGCCAGCTCCTTGGTTCTCCTCAATGTCTCCCAAGTTGTTCTGTGAAGCTGTCACCCATAGACCTGGGCAATGGGAGCATTTGTGAGGTTTTTTGCTTCCCAGGACCTGCTCTGCTCTTCCCAGAGCCCCCCTCTGCCCCCGAACCCCGGGGAGGTGCTCCTGGGCCAAGTGGTTGTGCACCCCTACTAGACTTAAAGTTCTAGAAATGCCTCAATTTCCTGCTAAGATAACCCCAGATTCATTAGCAGCCTAGGGTGGCCTCTTGGGCCATCTCTCTAGTCAAGGCCAAACGGCATTGCTGTTGTGTTTGGCTTAGGTCCTGGAGTGCCCAGGGCAGCTGTTTGGGTGTGGGTGTATATATGAGGTTAGTCTCTCATGGTATGAGACTCTCCCTGGTTGCCACATTCAGACTTGGAACTTAGGGAGCCTGAAACCCCTCAATCTAGACCTGGTATTGTATCTTGAGGGTGTATTTGTCAAGGCAAGAGCACAGAAGACATTTTACTTTTCATCCCGTTAGGCTGACATAACTTTTAAGTACTGAAATATGTGCTATGTGGCTGTGTGTACTCCTGTCCGTGCTAAGGTTGTCTGAGCTGGGGTCGGCATTATGTCTGGCCTGAGATCTGTCTCACAGTCCAGTCCTGATAGATGTCTCCATGGTTCCCTGTCTCACTTGGTGGCCGTCCACTTCATCCTGGTCCCCAAGACGGGAAGAGGATTCCAACTGGGAATTAGACCTGATGGATCAGGCTGGAGCTCAAGCTATGCTCTGTTTGCCTTGGGGTGTGGTGGGTTGTGGAAGGGAAGCGCTGGTTTCTTCTGCAAGCTGCAGGGACCTGTACAAGGCGACACCATAGGTTCCAAGGTAGGCAGCATGATGGCCACAGGGTGGTGATGGCGGCTAGGGTTCTATTGAGATGAAATCGCCAGGAGACCAGAACAGGAGCGGGGAAACGCCCGCTCCAGGGCAAGGATGTGCACGGAGCCTGCCAAGCTCGCGCTGGAGCGAGACAGGAGGGGCTGGCTGGTTCTGATAGCGAAGGACAGGGAGGGGTGGGGGTGCCGCTGTACATGTGGCTTTCCACCTGGCAGGCCAAGGGTAATATGTGGTGGTATTGTGTTCCCCAAAATATTGTGCATGCTAATAAACTTATCTGGGGTCAGAGAAGAGAACAGCCACAATATTAAACATAGGGGTTAGGCAGTGGTAGCACACGCCTTTAATCCTAGCATTCTAGAGGCAGAGATCCCTCTGGCTCTCTGAGTTTAAAGCCACACTGGGAACAGCCAGGCATAGTGACTGACGCCTTTAATCCCAGGGAGTGATGGCAGAAAGCAGAAAGGTATATAAGGTGTGAGGACCAGGAACTAGAAGCTTTTGGCTGGTTAAGCTTTTAGGCTTTTGAGCAGCAGTTCAGCTGAGATTCATTCTGGATGAGGACTCAGAGGCTTCCAGACTGAGGAAACAGGATCAGCTGAGGAACTGGCGAGGTGAGGTAGCTGTGGCTTGTTCTGCTTCTCTGATCTTCCAGCATTCACCCCAATACCTGGCCTCAGGTTTAATTTTATTAATAAGACCCTTTAAGATTCCTGCTACAGTAACAGGAGAGCCCATACAGGCGCTGGAGTTGCTACTGCAGGATTCCTTTTGCTCGGCGCTCTGTTCTTTTCTAGACTCACTGCAGGCTCTAGGGCGGGAGTCTCCTGGCATTGTGAGGGAGGAGGGGACCAGAGTTTCTGGAGCAAGGTATAGCAGTGGGCAAATAAGTTGGCAGGCCCTGCTGACATGCCAGCTCCTCCCACCCTGCCTTCCCTCTCCCTCACCAGAGCTCTCTCGAGGATCACCAGGTCAGACCTCACAGCCCTGCCACTGGGTATAGTGGCCCCTCTCTGCCGTCCTCCAATAGTGGTGAATAGACAGACAGGATGGGCACAGAGGGCACATTTTAGGGAGACACAGAGCTGGCCCTGAGGATAGAGAGCGACTGAGGGAAGGCTGTTAGATGGGTGGGGGAGGGGGGCTCCGGGGAGACCTCTCTGAGGTGATGACATTTGAACGGGGATTTGGGGGTGTCTCAAGGAGGGAAAAGAGCCACATGGACGGGGAAAGGGCCCCATGGGATAGACAGAGTGCACTGAGTGAGGATCTGGCAGAAGGGAGGGTCGGCAGTAGACAGCCCCAGACCACACAGGGCCTTGCCTGCTGCTGCGGGGAGGGGCTTATGCTTCACTGTCGTCAGTGGAGACTGTTAAAGGCTTGAAGCTGAATAGTGACGGACATACATGGAAAAGGAGATAGCTTGTAGAGAGCGGCCCGATCGAGGCCCGTCTGTAGAGAGCGGCCGAATGAGGTCGGTCTGGGGGCCTGAGGATGTGCATGGAGCCTGCAGCAGAAACCCAGGCCAGAGGCCCCAGCTGTGTGGACCCAGTTAGAATCTAGAGAGTTCCTCAACTTTTAATATGCACTTCTCTGTGCACCTGTGTACCTGCCTGTTTGTGTGTATGTGTGTGTGCACAAGCATGTGTGTGTATATATTCGTGTGTGTGTGTGTGTGTGTGTGTGTGTGTGTGTGTGTGTGTATACATATCTTAATTGCCCTATACCTCAATTTTAGGCAGGTATTCTATCACTGAGCCCTCTGGGACCATTTAGATTAATTTTAGATGCTCTTCAATGATAAATGTAGGTCACTGTCCTAGTCAGCCGTTAGCTGTCAACTTGACACAGTCTAGACTCCTGAAACAAGAGTCTCAGTCAAGTCACAGTTTTTATCAAGCTGGTCTGTGAGCATGCTTCTGAAAACCGTCTTGATTATTAACTGATATAAGAGGGCCCAGGCAACGGTGGGCAGCACCAAGCCAGGCAGGTGGTTCAATGTTACTTAGCACACATAGTGTCTGGAAACGCTGTTATGTGCTGTATCGTTTAAAGTTACAGTAAGTGTTAGGGTGCCGCTGGATCTTTTCATTTAAAGCTATAATTATAAAGCACATCCATCAGTATATCATAGATTTGATTTTTGCATTATTTTGGGCTTTATATTTCAATAGGATCAGTTTTCTTGGTAGTCGTCCATATTTTATTTTATGCACTTAAGAACATTATTCTGATAAAGGAGCCCACTGGTTCTGACACCCTCCCCCAGCCAAAGTTGCCCACAATTATATGGAATTCATGTAGGTATTGAACTGAGTTCAGATTCTAGTCACATTGCTAGTAAAGCCAGCGGGACTAAGTGATGGGTTAAATGTGGAGTCGGGAAGGGAAGGGTGGGGCTCCCGAGTCTTTGACCTGAGCCCCTGTGTGGAAATTCTACTGGAGACGTGCTGTTAGGTATAAAGTGAGGAATGGCCAGGTGGTGGTGGTGGCGGCCGCGGCGGCGGCGGCGGCACTTGGGAGGCAGAGGCAGGTGGATCTCTGTGAGTTCGAGGCCAGCCTGGGCTACCAAGTGAGTTCTAGGAGAGGTGCAAAGCTACACAAAGAAACCCTGTTTCAAAAAACCAAAAAAAAAAAAAAAAGAAAAGAAAAGAAAAAAAAAAGTGAGGAATGGTTATCACTCTGGAAAGAAAGCACTGTCGTAAAGTACCTGGCAATGTTGTAGGTACCTGTCATCAGGAACTTGTCCCTGCCATATAGCAAGCGGTGGCACTGAGAACTGAGGCCAGGTCTCGTGACAGCAGATGGCAGAATGTTTGAATCTAGGCTCTGGGAAGGGACTGAGGCTGGAGAGAGTTGCATTTTGGAAGCCATGGGACTGGGTGTGTAAACACAGCTGCCCGTGTCTAGCTAAGGAGACCGGCTTGGAACAGTGAAGTACGGTCCCCCGGGCACTGGCTGGTACTGCCCTACCCTCTTCACCCAGCTGGAGGTCACCGGTACGGCAGGGCAGGCCCCTCACCCAGGGACCATCGCCAAGAGGAGGTATTTGGGAATCAGACCCTCTGTTGTGACTGGTCCAGAAAGAAGCTGATGCGTGAGGTTCCTCCCAAGCTGATGAGAGGAATGACTTTCTCCCTGGTCAGACCTTTGCATGCCTGGAGGGCCTTGGCCATCTCCCTTCAGTGGGGAGCTGACCTGCTCAGCCGCAGCACACTCCGGGCAGGGATCGCTCTAGCAAGGTGGTAATTTACCTGCATGGCCAGAGATGTTCTCATATACTTCGCTCACATTGACATGAAACCTCAAACACTGTTTACCAGAAACAAGAGGGTGCCTGGTAATTTTGTCTCAGACATTGACGGCTGTAACAGTTGTGACCAACCTGACTGGCTGGGACTCAGTTTCCTTATCTGTTAACCAGACAGGTTCAATGAAGTAAGAACATCCCTGCAGCTCCAAAATGAACTTTTGCTTGTCCCTGACTTTGCTTCATCCTGTGAAGATGCCTAGACATTCCTGCGGAGGAGATCAGGAAGGAAGTGGAATGCCCGGAAAGGTGCCTGCCACCAAGCTTGATGACGTGAGTTCAATCCCCAGGGCCCACGTTGAAAAAGGAGAGGATGTACTCCATCAAGTTGTTCTCTGACCTCCACACGTAGGCTACATAGTACTCCCTCACTATGACAATAAATAAATGGATAAATGTAATAGAAAATATTTTTTTAAGGAGTGGAGAGTTCCAGATGGGGGCATCAAGATTTCTGTTAGAAGCCTGCTGCTGTGCAGTGAATCTTGTCTATATTTTGGGACTGCTCCTTAATAAAAGGGAAGCTTCCAGAAGTCACTGCAGTTGACAAATTTAATGATTATACATTGGAACACAATACAAAAAGCCCAGAGGAATCCTTTATTTGAATCACTGTAAATGTATCCCTCAATTATTTTTTATCACACATATCACAGGCATTTGGATGGAGATAAAGTATAATGTTGCGGGGGAATGAGGCCTTTAGAAGGAAGAGACTTGACTCTACCACTTTCTATGCCTGTGACCACCTGCTGCCACACCAGGAACCTGCCCTGAGTCAGACGGACTCACACAAATGGTTCGTCCCCAGAAGGACAACCACTCTCCACATGACAGATCAGGAGCCCCAACACCAGTCCCCAGCCAGTGGCAGGTCTGGGGTTTGAGATCCCTTTCTTGTAGGTCAACTCTAATCCTAACTTCTAACATTCTCTCTCGACAGTGAAAACAGGGAAGTACCTGAGACCTAATAGTTAGTTACTCAATAAACATCAGTTTCCCAACTAAAGCAGAAATCTCTCGTCTTTTTCTCCTTTGATTTCCTTCAAATGTTTTTTTTTCATTTTTTCTTTTCTTTCTTTCTTTTTTTTTTTTTTTTTTGAGACAGGGTCTCACTATGTAGCCCTGGCTGTCCTGGAGCTCATTAGGTAGACCAGGCTGGCCTTGAACTCACAGAGATCTACTTGTCTTTGCCTGAGTGCTGGAATTAAAGGTGTGTGCCACCACGTCTGGTGTCTTCAAATATTTTCACTTGCAGTAGAGCCATTTAGTCCAGCCACAAGTCTACACCCCTGGCCCTCCATCACAGAGTCTACTTTGCTCCCAGGAAGCTACATGCATGGGGCATTCCTTCTTTCCAGTCCCCGGGCTGAGGGGCTGAGTTCTACCCAGCATGAGCTGTCTGTGGAGTGTGAAGCTGTGTCTGCTGAGCACTTCCCACACAGTGCTGGGTCTGAGTGTTCCCGCTTCATCCTTGGAACAGGCCCTTGAGGAAGACACACAGGGTGGGGAAAGTCTTAGGGAGAGCCAACCATGTTCCTAAAGCTACGCAGCTCACCAGTACCCAAGTCAGGATTATGACTCAGGCTAGCCTGGCTCCTAAATTCTTCATGTGCCTTGGGGGTGAGGGGGGAAGAAAAAAAAAGAAAGAAATCTCTTTGGGAAAACTGGAATTTTCCAATCTGCTCCTGTAGTCTTCTCTACTCTGAGGGCCACCTAGCAAAACAAATATAAGCCAAAAATAAGTTTATTTAAAAATGAAGATTCCTGGGCATTCATGAGACCTTGGGGCTTTAAGTAAACAGTTCCAGTCAAGGGGGGGTGTGTGCTCTGTGTTCACAGTGAAGGCTGTGGAGATAGTCATACCCTCAACTGAGTAACCATATCCCTGCAATTTCTGCTAAGGCTGTATTTAACAGAAACAAAAGCTCCACAAGTATATTTACTGTAAAGTTATTTGAATATCTAAAGTTTAGAAGCAACATAAATGTCCCAAAGAAGGCAATGGTTGGGGACCAACTGTGCAGAGTATTATGTGGCCATGAAAATGATGGTTATGGGGACTATGGAGACATGGGGAAACACTTAAGGACATACACTTGAGTACATGACAAAGAGTGTCAGGGGCTGGAGAGGTGGCTCAGTGGGCAAGAGCACTGGCTGCTCTTCCAGAGGACCCGGGTTCCATTCCCAGCACCTGTGTGGAGGCTCACAACTGTCTGTAATTCCAGTCTTAGGGGTCCTCTGTAGGCACTGCACATATGTGATGCACAAACACACGTGTGGACAAAACACCCGTACACATTTCAAAAAAAAATCATCAAATGCATGAACAATGTGAGCATGGAAACAGAGTAGTTGTGGTTCGTGAAGAGGGTGAAAATTGAGGATTGAATACATTTTCTTTTTAGACAGGCCTTGCTTTGTAGTCCAAGCTGGCCTCAAACCCCAAGCCATTTTTATCATTTTTATTTATGTGTATGTTGTATCTGTGTGTATAGCATTCGGGTTCAGGCACCCCAAGAGGCAGAAAGAGGGCAAAGGAACCTCCTGGAACTCTGGAACCCCTGGAGTCAGAGGCAGCTGTGAACCACCATGGGTTCTGGAGACTGGCATCAACAATGACAGTTGGAGAAGCATGAGGGCCACACGGGGCCACATGAGCTGGTGACAATTCCCCGGCTGCCTTCTTCTCTGCAAGGATAATGGAGGCACAGCACTGCTCTGCCTCCTAGGGCCTCCCCCGGGGCAAAACTGCAGGTAGCCACCCACAGTGCCGGCTTGACTGACAGCCATCTCAGGCTAGCTTGTCTCGAAGGCTGGGGGAGAAGGTATTAGGAACCACCACTTGCCAGAGGAAGAATGAGAAAGGCTTGAGGAGAGGGAGAGGCAGAATGGAACACAGCTCTGAGAAGCTTCAGATGTGTGGTTAGGAGTCCTCGCTGCAGGTCTAGGGAGCCTCAGGAAGCCCTGGGGTGGGGTAGGGATTGAGTAGCCCCAAGAGTCAGTCATTCCACCTGGCCCACTCTTGAGTGAGACCCAAGGCAAGGCTACTCTTTCTCCTGTCTTCATTGGGCACTGAAGGAGACTGTCCATGGACCCCAACCTGCAGCTGGGCTGCACGGCATGATGGGAAGGAAGGCCCAGCTAGCAAGTCTACCACAAGGACACATCTGTATCAGCTTCTTCCAACATCTGCCACAATTTCCAGACACTCAGGTGTGACGCTTTTTTTTTTTTTTTTTTTTTTTTTTTTTGAGCTGGTATCTTGAATATCTGTATATATGTGTATGTAGTTTTGTCATATGTATCAGTTAGTTGTTGCTGTGTAACAAAACACTTCAATGGTTGGC